TCTTTCCCCATCAAACCTCTGTAATTTGGTCCTGGTTCGTAACATTACGAACAGAGCCAAAATATCAGCGATTCGTTAGCAAACTTCGAATCTTTCGTTGGCCAAAGCTCACCCAATTTTAGACTCATTGACCTGGTCTTGCATATCTGGAAGCATTTCATGGTGTTCTTTTATGTGGTTGAAATTTATATTCTAAAAATAGCTTTTTTGACGTCGTTCTTTAGAACTCTATTCCCTATGGCAGTCAACTTTGAAATTCTGTTACTCCGTTGCTGGTGGCAATGATAGTTAGTCTTCGATGTCGGTTATCATTGAACGAATTTGCTGACGATTGAGAGCGTTTAGTGACGCACATTTTTAAAAAGTTTTCTACAGTTGAACGTCATGCTTTGAATCCGGACGCAAACAACTTCTAAAACACTCTAATGGTATTGTTGTTAAGATTAATGTTTTCATTTCTATTGAAATTGTGGGAGTGCTGCCGCGGATGCAGTTTTGCAGGCTGTTTTCTATAGATGAACATGTTTAGCCATAACGTCAGGACAAAATAATTCTTCCAACAGTTTGTTTTGAATCAATCCGCTTCTCCGCGAAACTGAACAACATGCTTTTATTTATGGCGTGTTGACATAGTGAAATGGGTATCCACCGTCTTTAACAATCTGTTTACCGTGTTTTAGAGTTGCATGTTCGACGAAACCGCTACCAAAGCTAGAAATTTGAAAATGACGATCAACCCCAGTGGTTTTAAAATGCTTCAATCAATTTGGTTGAACCCTTGATTCCTCTCAGTGAAAGACCGTTGCATGGTCGTTCACGTGTGAACTAAAGCCAAGCATTTAGAGTATTCCGTGTGTTATTTTTTAATTGATCTAATCTATTGAAGAATTTTTTCGCAGAATAATTAAGATTTGTAAATATACATGTTAGTTAAAAGTCTCTACAACGAAAATCTGTAGTTTTCCTTGGTTTTCACAACTCGTCTTTTTCCGTGCCCCCTGGAATCTTATGACCACTTCAGTTCAAAACTTTATCCCCCCCCCCCTCCTTTTCTTCTTAACTTTCCCCTCCTCCTTTTTATGGTTTGGTTTGATTGAGGGCTTGCAGCAGCAAATAAGAAAATAAAATTCCCCTCATATGTTTCATAACCTCCCAAATGCTAGACATTAACTTTTAACTCGATTTAATTATTGTCAATTCAAGATACGTTATTATATAAAACCCTTTAAATAAACTGGTCATCATTGCTGTCGCTAGCCACTGAAACTAACTGAATACCTAGCATGAATTCAAGTGAAGCAATGGTTTTCAGATATATAAAAGTCCAAATGAAGGGTAATATTTTGCAGACATGGACGGAACAAAATCGATCTTTATTGATGATGTCACAAAAATCTATTTTTAGAATTTTTCAATTTTGCAAAAACTGCATTATGAAATTGCTCCAAATGTGCAAAGTCAGTCGAATGTGTTTCTGGCAGAGGTGTGCTCATATTAGCACAGGCTCTTTCTCCATCAAAGTACTGTAATCTGGTCTTGGTTCATAACCTCACGAACCAGGCCAGAACAATAGTAATCCGTTAGCCAATTTGAAATCTTTCATGTCACCCAACGTTGAACATATTTAACTGATTTTGTATATTGACAGTTTTTATGGTGTCCTTTCAGATTACATGGTCAAAATTGAGAATGTCTAAAAATAGATCTTTGATGACGTCACTGCTGATAGATCGCCTCTACATCTCTCACCACGCGTCTCGATCTTATCCTCCGGGGTCTTCCACTGGATCCCTTGACTTGCCTTGGTCCACACTGTTACACGCTTCGCCAACCTGCTTTTCTGCATTCTTGCCAGGTGTCCTGCCCATTTTCCTCCTGTGCCTTTTCTGTAATGTCATTACATTTCTGAAATCCCTTTGTTTTAGGGAAAATCTCGTACGCTATTTGCAAGCGTGAAGTGCCCCTCGGTCGCAACGAGCTTATTAGACAGGACATATAGCCTGACAATCTGACATTCAAGCTAATGTTTACTTTCTCAACGGATTCTGGTAGTAGGGAGTTCAGGCTTTCATTATCTGCAAGGTGACTTTTTTGAAAATGCCTGGATGTCACGTGACTGATGACGTAATTTAACGGCAAAAAGTCAGACAAAATCATCGTTAGCTCCTCACTGAAGGGTTATTTTTTAACGCAACTTACATATATTGACTTATCTCATTGCAAGCTTTCAAATGATATTTATTTAAGCAAGATTTGCCGACATAAGTATTTTCATTATGACGTCATAACAAATTTTGCATGACGTCATCAAATATTTTATTGTCATAAAATGATACGTTAGCATAATTTTGTTTTAATATGACGCTGGCTGTCAGCAAAAGCTTTTCTTCCTTAGTTTTTCAGTCAAAATAATTAGTATTCAGTTCATTTAAATTGAATTTGTGCCAACCGCAATAGCCAAAGTTTAAATAAAGAAGTCGTTACTATCTGACGAGTGAGTCACTTCTTCCTCCGAAGTTGCAAAGTCTTGCTCCCACTTTGAACCGGACAATGATAACTCTGCATCCGCATTTGAATGTTACACTAAATCGGAAGAATGTCTTGGCAATATAGGCTATCCAAGATGTCCTACCGATGTGCTGAAGGTGCATGACTTTTTTAAAAAAGGCTATCTTCTGCTGCGAAATAAGGCCATCTCCTAAATAAAATACTCCATCTAGCATTTTTCTGATGGTGGATTTATACATGGATTTGGCTCCTTGCACATGAAATTAAGAAGAACAGCTTTATCTCCTTGTCACAGTACACCTTCAATAGTTGCAAGACTAGAGTTATGGTTTTGATGGGATATGAAAATGCCTTTTCGATAGAGGCAGCCTTGCCAATCACGAAAGCTTGGTGGTCTTCGTTCATTATTGAGACTGCTTTTGCTGTTTTCCTGGATCTTTGTGCCCCAGAATGCAGCTTACGTTTCTGACTATACTTTCGTTGCCAGCAACAACCTACAATTCGAGCAAAATAGCTCATTTCTTCGAGATATTTCTTCCATGTTAGCGCTAGTGTCATCAGTCCGTGAGAACATTTTGTAAAAACGCCACCAGAAAACGCCAGATGGAGATTTGATGAGACGGCCTGAGTTCGTAGCATCAAACCCAAGTAAACATTCAGTGTTTGGTTCAAGAACATCCATGGATGTGCTAATCCTCCTTATGAGGCTAAAGCAATGGAAGTGGAAACAAAGTCAACGCTAAATATTTAGAAACCGCACACGAGCAAGCAAACGGCAAAATAGAGTCATCAAGGCAAGTGCATATAAAAAGTGGAGAGCAAAAGATACTCCAAAGTAAGAAGAGTATTTTTACATTGATGAAAAAAGAGAATCTCATGAAACTTGCTCCCGAATTCTTTCGAAGCGCTGAGGGTCACAGGCCCCTGACAATTCAATTTATCGTAGCTTAAGGAGGAGAAGCATCGGAGACTTCAAAAAGCAAGTAGAAGTCCTTTCAAGATGTAACCACAAAAACCAGAATATTTTGCATGGTAACTCGAAAGATGCAAAAGTAGTTGCTGTTGCAAAAGAAACTGATTTATGTGTGCTGCTTGTTCATGCAACATAAAAGTGCAAACCCACAAATTAGTGGTTTATGTGCATAAATAACAAACAAATCGTCAAGATTTGAGGCATCGCTGAAACTTTTGGTTCCAAAATTTGCTGTATTTTATCACAGATTAATGGAATTGTGGGCTGAGACAACTGCATATAAGCACAACATTGATAAGGTTACTGTGAAAAAAGCTAACGAGGAACCAGAAACAAGTCATCATTAAAAGTCTCTCCAAAGGAGTTATCGCAAAAGCAAAGACATTCGCGAAACAGCAGAATATAGTGGAACAACATATAAAAGCTGTTTAGGGACAAAGATATTTATCAAATCTGGAAAAAATCATCTGCAGCAGTTCCAGCAGATCCATAATCACTCAATCAGAAAATAATTAAATTGTATCAACTTAACAAGGTTATTTTGGCTACACTGTTTAGGTGCAACTACTACAAGACATGTCCCAAAAGTCTGATGTTGAAATTTGGACGACATACTCGACCGTTTAAAGTCTAAATGGTTCACAGGGAAGCAGCTTCCTCATCTCCGAGAGCTTCCTTTACATCACAAGAATATGAAGGTGACGCAGGAGATGAATTTACCCATGAAGAAAATCATACACTTTCATACCCAGCGCTAAAGACCTATAGTGCGAAGACATCTTGGACAGCCTATAATAGTGCGAAGATATTTTCCGACTTAGCAACAGTCAAATGCAGATGCAGAGAAAAGCAACTGTAACAAGGAGATAAAACTGTTCTTCTTAATTTCATGTGCAAGGAGCCAAATCCATATATAAATCCACCATCAGAAAAATGCTAGATGGAGTATATTATTTATGAGATGGCCTTATTTCGCAGCAGAAGATAGCCTTTTTGAAAAAAGTCATGCACCTTCAGCACATCGGTAGGACATCTTGGATAGCCTATATTGCCAAGACATTCTTCCGATTTAGTGTAACATTCAAATGCGGATGCAGAGTAATCATTGTCCGGTTCAGAGTGGGAGCAAGACTTTGCGACTTCGGAGTAAGAAGTGACTCACTCGTCAGATAGTGACTACTACCTGCTTCGAACTTTGGCTATTGTTATACAACTTGTTTTGTCTGTCGTGCATCGTGTTTGTGGTTCGTTATCGTTAATGAGGATGTCTTTCGATGTTTGCGTCGGTCCATTTTGTTTGTCATCGTGCCATCTCTATTTTAGTTGTTATTAGTCCATTTGCCGTTAATTTGTGTCACTAGGGTTTTGTGTGCGTCACTCATGTTGTTAAAAGCGTATGTTCTTTGAGTGCAAGTCCAGTCGAGTCGAAGTTGTCGTTGAAAGAAGTCGTTATGTTGTAATCGTTGGTTGCTACTAATTTATACATTCATTATTGAAGAATCTTGATTTAAAAAAAAAAAAAAACGTTATTTCACATTGGTGACCACGACGTGACGAATTCGCAAAAAAAAATGGAAATGATTTCAACAGAACAATTCAGAGAAATTCTGTTGGATATTATAAAGACCGTTGTATCTCACGTGGCCGAAAGGGTGAGGTTGGCAGAGGAGAATGGGAGAAATTTCTTCGTGAATCGAACTAATGTCTATCGTGCTGAAGATGGCCAGCCCATTTGCTATTGTTGTTTGCGCGTTGGTCACGTTGCCAAATATTGTAGGGACAGGAAATTTTCTTTAGCATCCCAGGAGAAGTGTGATCAAAATGAACCTGTGATTGTTGCCTCGGTAGCTGAAGAGCGACCTCGGGTTACCTTTATTGGCAACATCAAAAGAAATGAGCCACACTTTCAAGATCTTCAAACTCGAGTTAAGAAATTGGAGGAGATTGTCAATGAATTGGAGTCACATAAACTATCACGACCAATGGTGACGCGACTGCTTTCTTCAAAACCAACGGAAGTTGACGAGGGTTTATTAGCCACAACATATGAAAAAAATTTGATTGACACTAAAAGAAGAGAAGGACCTTTACGTGTACATAATGTTGTTATAGCCTCGGGTAGAGAACTACGGTGGCCCACAGGTGCCACGGCAAAACTTTCTTTCTCACGGCAAAACTTACTTTCTTACGGCAAAACTTACTTTCTCACGGCAAAACTTACTTTCTCACGGCAAAACTTACTTTCTCACGGCAAAACTTTCTTTTTTCACGGCAAAACTTTATTTCTCACGGCAAAACTTTACTTCTCACGGCAAAACTTTCTTTGAATTTAATTTATTACTTAAATTAAATTTATTTTGAAAATTTGATCTCGTGACATTGGATTCTCGTCGTCGTATTGCTTTGTTCCTTTTGCTTTTCTGACATAGGCGTAGTAGACAAGGGTCTGGGGAGATAAGGGGGCTGTAGCGGCAACTGTAGTTTCTCAACATAGAAAAGTTTCCAAAAAAGCGATAATCAGGCAGAAATCTACTATGATTCAGTCGGGCAAAATTTTTATAAACAATGGATGTTGTTTGTTGGGCAACCACTTTTTTCTCCCCTTATATTATGCCCATGCTTATTATTTCATTTCTTTATTCATTGTTATTACTATTATTCGAAAAATTAAGTACCTAGCCATCAACCCACCCTGTGAGTAATACGATATGATATGATATTAAACACAATACCCAATTTATAGGTTTTTTACAAGCCACAATCGAGCGTGCCAAGTGCACGTACGTGATTTTTTTGCACGAATTTTATGTGCACGCCAATTTTCAACGAATTGATCTTTTTCACTGCTCTCAAAACAAAGGAATCAAAGACCTTGCATGCGGTACTGTTTCGTTGAGATAGGCATATAGGCCTAGCCTAGCCCAACCTAGATAAATTTTAGAACATTTCTCGGCTGTCTTTCTGCAAGAATTATCAAGAGAAGATGTAGGTATTCGCAAATTCTGCGAAGTTTAAAACGTCTAAAGCATTGATTAGATCTAAGTATCACGTACACAACAACACGTAAAGAAAGTTTTGCCGTGAGAAAGTAAGTTTTGCCGTGAGAAAGTAAGTTTTGCCGTGAGAAAGTAAGTTTTGCCGTGAGAAAGTAAGTTTTGCCGTTAGAAAGTAAGTTTTGCCGTGAGAAAGAAAGTTTTGCCGTGAAAAAGAAAGTTTTGCCGTGAGAAAGTAAGTTTTGCCGTGGCACCTGTGGGCCACCGTAGAGAACCGTATGGACGGAATAAACTTGGACAGGGACATTATTTCTTAGATGGTACTTGATTTACTCATTTCAGTAAAATTATTTGATTTGATTCTTCGTGCTGCCTTATAATACTTTTATGTTTCTTCCCCTTCGAGAGATCAAGCCAGGAGGCTTGTCTTTCAAAGGGGGGAGTAATGTTATACAACTAGTTTTGTCTGTCGTGTATCATGTTTGTGGTTCGTTATTGTTAATGAGAATGTCTTTCGATGTTTGCGTCAGTAATTTTGTTTGTCATCGTGCCATCTCTTTTTAGTTGTTATTAGTTCATTTGCCGTTAATTTGTGTCATTAGGGTTTTATGTGCGTCACTCGTGTTGTTAAAAGCGTATGTTCTTTGAGTGCAAGTCCAGTCGAGTCGAAGTTGTCGTTGAAAGAAGTCGTTATGTTGTAATCGTTGGTTGCTACTAATTTATACTTTCATTATTGAAGAATCTTGATTTAAAAAGCATTATTGCGAACTGGAGACTGGTTTTCGATCTTTATCTGCCCTGTAAAACTTAGTAGTTTTACACTTTGCCACCCGGGCCAGACCGCCCCTGACCACACTCGTTGCTTGTAATTATTCTTCAGCATAATGCGTCTCTCCCCGTATCTTTAGGCCTATAAATGACCTTCGGGGTACACTTTCACGACAAAGATTCCTCATTTGGCCTTACCAAGAGGAAAGAAACTTGATTCATATAAAATTTCTTTTCTACAAATTCAATTTGAGAAACTAAATATAAAACATTCGCACTGTCCTACTCATATGCCATATTAGGTTCTAAACGACATATGGGCTCCGAAAAAGGTTGAAAAGTGGGGAGGCCAAGGGAAAATTTAACACCCATAACAAAAGATTTTGAAGAAGCTGTATTGTTTTGCAAAAAAGCCAAGGCCCCCCGGCCCCCCTTCGCCGGAGGCCCTGCGGCAGACAGAAAATTCAAGAATTATATATCTAAAATGGTCTATATTATTAGATAATAGACTTAAAAAGTTTTTTCTAATCTATATGAAGATAAAAATTGCAAACACATACTTTTTCAACTCATAAAAACACGACAAGCCACTGCCATATTCCCCCCGTAACTGCGTTAACTAAAAGAACCATCATTTTAAAATTCTCTTTAAAACCCCCAACAAATTGTTATGTGTTGTTGATTTATATCTATCTACCTGCATCAGAAAAGGCACTGAAATAGTTCTGAGCCACGAGAAAATCATTCATTAAAACAAGCAGTTTTCCATACTGAACCCTATTGCAGCTCGCGCTTTTTGCCACTATTTAAAATGGCGGAAGTTAACAAATTTGCCTCACTCGGCAGTACGCAGCATGACCCGACCCGAGTTAGACATCTAGCGCCTTCGGCGCTTCTATGACGTTCTCACGTGAAAGAGAGACGATTTGTAATGTGCCTCGTTTTAGTTCGCAACAAAAACAATTTCTGGAAGAAGAAGAGGAAGGGGTATGACATGGTGGACAGTACCGGCTTGTTTTAAAGGATGGGGCAATTTGAATCTAAACAGCACGGATTTGAAGGCATTGTCAGCCACATATACGGAACCATCTATGGACAATGCATTGGAGATGCAATCGGGCTGCTTACCGAGTTCATGATAAAAGCAGAAGCAAAGAAGGTGGGTTGTGTACACACTTCCGCGTCAGCTTTGTCTCGCTTTCTAAAGCATCTAGGAACCGGTATTTCAAAAACTAGAAAAGGTCCCCGTAATGTAATGTTACTGTCATGTAAAGCTAATAGTGAGACTTGCCAAAGCGGTTTACAGACAATTTGTAATGTGATTTGTAGAGGGATCTAAAAATAGTGTATTCCGAATCCAAAATAGCTGTTCTTGTTGACAAACTGGGTAATTCAGGGTTTTGTAATAATCCCTTCAGTGAGAGAATTGTTTGCATGAATTTGCCTGATTTACAAGGCAAGAAATTGGGATATTAAAAATATGTTAGAAAAACGTTTGCTGAACAGCTTCATTTTTTCTACAAGTTATATGCAAAACTAAACAGATGCACATCAAGACTATCTAACAAGTCTTTACCAAATATATCTTTATATGCAATGTAATTTATTCTTTCAGTATTACAAACAACATATCAAAAATGGGTTGGAGTATAAGCTAAAAGTACCTGATCTCCATAGAGAAAGATGGCAAACTGGAGATTGGACAGATGACTCTGATCAGATGCTGTGCATTTTGCAGTCTCTTCTTGATATGAATGGCAAAGTATAGTATTTAGTTATCATAAAACTTTAATGGTAACAAATTTTCAAATTGCTTAGTAAGAGGAAATTTATTTTTCTATACGATGAATTGGAATTTTTGAAACAAAAGCAATTTAGATTTCTTGATTAGTCAGTTCACAAAATCATTTTCATTGTTTGCTAGCATCAAGAAGATTTGTTTTGCAATATGCTTTATCAACATTTACAGTTAAATTTCCAATAAATATTATTCCCATTAAGTTGGCATTATCAGGTATTGGATGTTAATTATAGAAATTTACCTCATGTAGAAGCAAAGCTTCTTTTAATGTTATTTGTTTTATAGATTGATGTTCTTGATGTTGGGAAGAAGCTGCATGGATGGATACAACATGGGATACCTGAATTGGAAAAGAGATGTATGGGTTTGGGGAGATCAACTGGGACTGTCTTAAGACATCCAGAATATCTTTCTGACCCCCATAAGGTGATGATTACTTATCAATTAAATTTGTGCCAGACATTTTACATGATAAAGATTGGATGAAAACAAATGCAAAATTGCTTTTTTTAAACCATTCTTTTGAAAGTCTGTAAAAAACTTGAAATCTTGCATGCAATAATGCATCTGATGGTTAATTCATTTTATTCATGTTTTTCTACTTACTGTTGATCAATTATTGCTCAAATTGTTTTTTTAAAATGCCTCAGGTTTGAGAAACGTTTTTTCAACCTTGACTAATCAGATATATATTGCAGGTAACTCTGTAAAGAAAAATTGTGATTATAAAATACCTACTGATCCAGTTGTAATGTCAACCTTTTAAGTATCCCTGATCAACTTTCTTTAACTTCCAAACACTGTCTGTGTGTGAGGTCTTAAGAACCATCCTGTTAAGCCATATTGGTACAATGCTATGTCTGATAATATATATATTGTAATTCATGTTGAGATTCATAAAATGTTTCTGTAACAATCTATTCAAAGCATTTCATACCAACCAAAAACAAACATTATTATCAAACATTTTTCCTGTTATCTGTTTACAGGCTGCATATGTGGTCTGGGATTCTTCACAAAGGAATATTGCACCAAATGGTGCAGTTATGCGGACTTCAATACTGGGTATCCATGAATTCATGTCTCTTGAAAAAGTTAAAGAGAATACTGTTAACGTCTGTAAATGCTCCCATGCTGATCCAAGGTACTTTTATATTGCAAACATTGCAATTAGTGCGAATTCTTTCCGTGGGGGTAGTTAGGACTTGGACATTGTGGGAGGGGAGCCAAAAGTTTTTTACCAACATATAGAAATGACTGTATCTAAATAATATACAGAAGTATTGCGCAAACATGTACAAACCAACACAATCATGGGAGAGAGGATTAGGAGGTGGCATGCGAACAATTTCCAAACTCTGTACGATCTGCAAACGTTTTTATTTGAGGACCCTCTAGAATATTGGATTGGCCAAGGCCCCTTGTACCCCCCCCCCCTTCTTGATTCCCATGATTCTTTCAATCTCATTTAATTTAATTTCCAAGATTAATGGACCCCATAACCTATATTTTCAGTCAGGTTAAATCTCCTATAATCGGGCTATGTTTAAAGCATAGTCGGGAGGGTGGAAAGTGTTGTCTTTTTTTAGATTTACTCGCATGCACCAAGAACATTTGAAACGTGTAACAAGCCCGGTTAAAGCGGTCCCCAGTGAGAAATTTTCTGACATTGGAGATCCCTTGCCAAATTCGATATATGGGTATTTTTCCTTCTCCCCTGCAAGCTGAGAATTTTGGCACCACAAACCATTCCCTGCCAGTCCATGTGAGGAAGAAAGCCACTGTGAAGAAAAAAGTATGTACTGTAGAACAGGGAATTAAGCAGTCTTTCAATCGATAAAACAGTCGTATCTTTGTTGTGTTGGTGCGTTTTACATTTATTTTCAGAACCTTTTCCTGTTGGTGCTGTTCGACTCTGAATTCCCCAGCCGTTTTCTTATTCAACAGCTTACCCAAACAGCCTTCTATAATCCTATCTCTTTCTGACAGAAATTGATTGAAGAAATGCGATAGATTTTTATTCCCTAACACAAGATCATCTATTGAAAGATGATTCAAGAATCTTCACAAAAAGCGCAGGCATGGATTTCTGTCTGTGGCCTACCATTTTTAGACCTTCTTGTGGAGCATCACCTCCATTTTATTCGTCATTAGAATTGCTCTTTATTCCACCCTTTAAGTAAGAAAATGTTTATCCACCTTCATGAGAGAAACGTTGATTTGTCTTTTTTGATATCGATTACATCTCGATTTTAGATGTAGAAAAGCAATGTAACATCCATGCAACCGTCCTTCTTTTATCTATAGTCCAGAGATTTGTTTTTAAAGTTGTATATGTTTTCTAAGAATAAGACTTTATATGTGTTTGGCTGTTTTCAACATTAAAAAATACAGATGCATATTATATTCAACAGATGCATAGCGTCATGTGTTGCAGTGACAACTGCCATTTCTACAATGCTGCGAAGAGAAGACCAATTCATACTTGCTAACGGCGATTTTGATATTTCTGCGATAACACAATTTGCATATGAGAATGCAGTGACTTATATTGAGAATGAAGACCAGGTGTGTTCATCATCAAGTGTTTGTCCTTTCCCAATTCTTCTTTCCTCATGGGCTCCGACAAAGATTGAAAAGTGGGGGGGCCAAGGGAAAATTTAACACCCATAACAAAGGATTTTGAAAAACTCTATTGTTTTGCAAAAAAGTGAGGGGGCCAAGGCCCCCCCGCCCCCCCCCCCTATCATCGGAGGCCCTGTTCCTGATAATCCTGTGAGAAAAGAGACAGCACCAAACTATGCTATGTCCTTGACAAAGGGATCTTCGGAAGTCGGATTCATGAGGTCCTTTCATGCTGATCTTCATCACCATTATCATTATTATTACCATCATCATTGCTACATTGACGATAGAAATATCTGCGTGATAGATACATTACACTCTCTTTTAGAAGAATATTGTTATCAGAATCTTCAGGCTCATAATCATGCAATTTTTAAGAATGTTATAAAAATGTTGCTCAGCCTCAGCTCTCATTTTTGTATCTCATTTTTTAGCCGAGCCCATTTGGCGATGCTCATAGTGGCTTTCATTTGAAGGCGAGCGATGTTTCCTTGAAACCATATCAGATTTGAACAAACGAGAAAGCTCCCATATATTCTATATTCTTTTATATATTCGGCCTCAAAGCGAAAAGTTTTCAGGAATATTGAGGCTGGACACAATTTATAGTCTTCTTATAAAAAAATAAGTGTAACCCTGTCTCTTATGAAAAAATAATTGTAACCCTCTCCAATAGTTTCTCTAAGGTCTTTATATGTACCGCAATTACAAAGAAGTTAGAATATTATCCGGTAACAATTTAAACAACTGCATCATTTTTATTCCTTCACGTTGCAATCAACTATGTTTATCTTTTTTATAGAAAAGGGAGCTGGAGGCGGCCATGTTTGCAAAACGGATTTCAAGTCTTGAACTCTCTGAGTATGGAAAGATAGGCTATACCCTAAAAACCCTTGGAGCTGGTTTTTGGGCGTTGAGACAGAATGATTTTGAAAAGGCTTTGACAACTATTGTCATGGAAGTAAGTTCTGAAGTTCTGGCATGTAGGCACCGCGCAGCCATTAGGCTAGCAGGGGCTATAACCCACCCACTTTTTTTGCAATAATAGGCTAGAAAATCTTTTGGAAGGTTTTCTCTAACGCAACTTTGGATAGTTTACTCCTATGTAGTAGTAGCTCTCATTGACTGGAAACCTTTTTTGTTCATTTTCTAGGTGTTTTATCTTGTTTAATGATATGATGTATTTTTCTAAATAGGTTAGCTTGGTGTTTTTACCCTCAAGCTAATTTTATCTATTTTTAAAGTTATTGACATCTTCTCTGAACCAGACTGTTTATAAAAACTAAGTAGAAATATGCAAACATTTTGTAAAAGGGGCGTTTTCCGGTGTACTAGAGGGCGTGTCCTCAAAAATTTTCGGACACACCCATTTCAGCCCATGCAGTTTTAAACTGGTAAGCGGTCCCTGCTGGCATGATCATACATTTATCATAATTTTCAATTTACCTTAACAACTTCAGATGGATACTCAAGTCTCTTTTTCACAGGAAAGAAACAACAGCATATCATTATGCCCAAAGATGTTTAAAAGGCAGAAAAATGCCCCCCTAGCTATCATTGTAAGAACATCCTATCTCCTGCAAATAATTGTTCTACTATTCGGTCCTGATCGAGAATTTATTTTTATTTCTTTTTACTTTTTGGCGGTTCGGAGTATGCGATGAATGCTGTGTTTTGTACCTTATATCGTTTGCAATTGACCTATTTGACTGTCTTTCTAGCAAAACGTAGATGACTGAATGAGATAAGAAATTACTGGTTGGAGTTTTGCTTAAATTTTTGGTTAATTTTATATTATTTGCCCAGTGCGCTAAACATTTTGAAAATATGTTTGAATGTGTCATCCATCTTGGATGTGCCTGAAGCAGTGAATTTTACCATTAAAAGGAATTTTTCAGTTGCTAAACTTTTGTGCTTATTTCAAACATTGGCTACTGCTGACTAATTAAAATTGAAAACATTTTCCGATGAGCAAAACTTTTTAACATTCTATGGATTTGTCCTCTCTTATTTTCTGATGTAGTCTTTGGTGGTGTACCTCTGTTTGTTATTACATATAAACTTGGATATCAAATTCATCAAGTAGTGATATTTGTGTTATTTCTAGCTGTCATGAAACTATTTTTTACCAGCTAAAAGCCTGCCAAATACATTTAGCTTTGTTGGCCCCAATACATTGTTTCATTGTAATGCCAATTTCCAGGCAGGAGATGCAGATACAAACGGTGCTGTTGCAGGAGCTTTGCTTGGATGCAAACTAAGCATCAATGGCATACCATCTAGATGGATTAACGACCTGAAAAACAAAACCTATCTCAACCAGAAAATTCACAGGTAAGGGCTTTCAATTTCAAGCAAGAACCATAAAGGCTCTTGCGCAACCGCCATGCTTTGCGAGTTAATCTTCAAAACCGGCCTAATATCGTACTCCATGAAAATACAAACACAATTATTTTCTCAAGACAACATCGCTAAGCATGCCGACTGTGCAAGGGCCGTTAAGATTAGCTGCCGATTTTTTCAATGCTGATTTTTTCAATAATTTCCAAAAGTTTACCCTCTAAGGCGTTTGGGTGTCTTAAAAAAGAGCTTGCCAAAGGCCTAGCTGGTTCAATTGAGCTGGAGTTATAAACCACGAGCAATTAGCAAACTTCTCGCCTAGGGTGATTGTTTGCGTTTTTCTTCTCTTCAGCTCTTCGTGTCTACGAGAGGCATTCAAGCACGATTTTTTCTCAAATGCTGATGGCCCAAAATGTTAATCACAGAATATGTGTGTATTTTGACATCTACCGAAAATGAAAGGCAATTTTTATTATTTGCAATTTTCACTTGTTTGGGGGTTTGTTTAAGTTGATGAATATCTGAGTTGATTTCTCGCCTCCAATATACATACGATATCATCAATACAAAAATATTTTTATTTAGCTTATTGGAACTATTGGTAAAGATGGAAAATCTGCAAGAAGAGCAGGTACAGTCCTTCCAAGCACCGTGATGCCCAAAGCAAGCATGTATAAACTTTTTAATTGTTTTTAATTAGAAAGCACAACCGGTTCACTATTAGCTGAGAGTACTCAAGCACATTGGGAGAGCTAAACGCATAGTACTCAAGCACATGGGGATAGTTGGAGGGTCATGGTAGCCAACCTTCTGATAGAAGATGGTACCTGATGATGATGACTCGAGCACATATCATTTTACACCATTTCTTACACTTTCACATTCTTAGCCCATTTCCTTGGAAAGACTAGAATTTAAAACTTTTTTCCTATTAAATTTGTAAGTGCCAAAGTGGACCAAACCAGCCATCTAAGTGACCTAGATTTTTCCAGGGGAGCAGTCACCCTGTGATATTATTTGTGAGCAGCATAGATGGTTAATGATCATTCAATTTATAAATCTATGCTGGTAGAGACTATTGTGACCAATGGTAAATTTCATTTGGCCAGATGAGCTATCAACCTTCCTTTTCTGCCCTTCTTAGCTCCAATATACCATTTTTTATTTCTGCGTGTAATATTTTTATTATAAAGGCAGCCTCTATTTAATGCAGATGTTTATTTATCAAAAATCATGAAATGTTATTTACGGTCTAAAGTTATTGAAAGTTTAAAAGGTACTTTTTTGTCTCTAAAAGCTTAATTTTTATCAATCGTTACCAATACTTGAAGTATTATTTTTCATTACGCCACAACGTAAACCAAAGATTGGTTTCTGAGGATGAATATTAGATACTTTGTTGAATTTGTTTAGTTGGTAATCTTTCAATCATTATAACTGGACTTGATATTTACAATCGTCGTAAATGTTGGAAACTAAGGGCGCAGGACCCAGGCACCGCGCAGCCATTGGGCTAGCAGGGGCTACAGCCCCCCCCTTTTTGCAATAATAGGCTAGAAATGTTTTTAAAAGGTTTACTCTAACGCAACTTTGGATAGCTTACTCCTATGCAGTTCTTCTTGACTGGAAATTTTTTTTAGTGTATATGGTGTATGGACTGGATATGGTGTTTTTTCTATTTTGGTTAGCTTGATGTTTTATTACCCTCGAGATTATTTTGTCCATTTTTATAGTTATTGATATCTTCTCTGAACCAGGCTGTTTATAAAGATTCAGAAGAAATAAGCAAGTATTTTCTAAAAGAGGCCTTTTCCGACGTTCTAGAGGGCGTGGCCTAAAAAAATTTCGGTCACACCCATTTCAGCCCCTCCACTTTTAGATTGGTGCGCGGTCCCTGGCAGGACCTTCCGTGTATTCTTACATTACAAGGATGCTCAGCCAACTACCCAACACACTTTTTACTTGAAATCGATTTAGTCTGATAACATTTATATTTCATTTATCATTTCATTATTTATTGTAATCGGATTATTTGTCTAGTGTTTTGATAATATTGTCTCACAAATCTATATGGACGACTGCAAAGAATTCGTGTTATTTTATCAAATTGATATCGTTATGATGATGTTGCCTACACAGACCAACCAAATATGTACTCATTTGTTAAGGGGGGCTAAGCCCCCCAAATCTATCTGAGTTTTGACAAGGAGCTGAGCCCCCCTTAAGCCCCCTCGACGGCACCACTGTGTGAATGCTGTTATGTATTGGTGCACTCAGTATATTTCGAGAAATTTTCTAAAAAATTAGTCAACAAATAGATCAGGTATCTGGAAAATAAACCATGTTTTAGAGAAGTAATTGAAGGGAATTTTGCTAACGTTTTTACAATCCGATTATATAGTTTGATATTTACATTAAAACCGGTCTATATATACCTACATTAAACATATTTATTATATCATCGTTGATTTTCAACTTAGGCCATCTGGTCTTAGGCCATTAGTCCATTTTCAAATTTTGACCCCATAACATGAAAGAACACCATAAAATACTCCCATATATGCAAAATCAGTTAATTTTTTCAAAAATTTGTTGAGCTATGGCCAATAGAAGATTTGAAGTTTGCTAACGGATTACTGTTATTTTGGCTCAGTTCATAGAGTTATGAACTGAGACCAAATTACAGAGATTTGATGGGGCCATAGCTTTTGCTCATCAGGTCATATCTCAGCCAATTTGTAATACTTTTAACTTATTTTATAGGTTTAGGGGTATTTCATGATGCTTTTTCAAGTTATGGGAAAAAATTTCAAAAATTCTAAAAATAGATTTTTGTGAAGGTCTGCTGTGAAGTAAACGCCCTGCATCTGCGTAGGCGCTTTCTTTCCTGGGCCTCCGACGAAGCTGAAGGACACTTGGTAGCGAATATCGTGAAAGACCACCATGTGGGAATTGATTGGAAAACTTTGCGCTGGTTACATTGTTGCAAAGCTCCTTTTCCTTCTTTGGAGATTCATCAGATCGTATTTTCTGCCACGATTAGGTCTGAAAATAAACATCAAGTCCTACGGAGAATGGGCCGGTGAGTGTGACCTATTTTTTGGAGCAAAATTTGTTCCGCATAGTGTGACAAGACAGTTGCAATGTCCTTGAAGCTTCTAGTATTATATATAAGCAACAAAGGATTTCAATAAAGCAGTTTAGAGTTTTGCAACACTATTTCTAGGCCATGGCTCACAACATGCTATAAGCACCATTGTGGTACTACCATAGAATGGTATCGCATGACAGGTCCAAAAGTACAAAATACTTCATTCACCTTTTGTGATATGTCACATCTTGCTGCAGCAAAAGTAAAAGAGTAGAAAAATTAAGGCGTGAAAAGAGGTATCGTTTATTGTTCTTGGAATAATCTGAGCCCAAAACTACGAACTATGAATATAGAAAAATACCAGTAAATTCCAAAAATCGAACCCCTGAATAGAATATTCTGAACTCAAACTCAAACTTCTGATTATTAATCTTAATTGTTTGAATTAGTTATCCTTATGATTGATATTCAGTTGCCACCTGAATCCCAAAATATATTTCCATGCCTAAATTCTAGCACCAAACTACTGAGCCAGTCCACATATTATAGAGAGCTCAGGCTCACTAGGGCTTATTCCCAAAAACCAAGAATAGAATAGAAAAAATGCAACAATTCTAAACACTTAGGAAGTTGTTCAAAATCTGGATACATGTAATCAGTTTTAAAACCAAACAGTTAAAGCTACTGTCAGTCAAAAGTGTCTAGTCATATTTAAAGAAAAAAGTTTTTATTTTGGCAAAACTTTATAATCCCCTGAAAAAGAGCCCATATGTGCTCCATAAAAAGAGCCCCTTACATATAAAAGCAACCTTGTGGGAAAATGCTTCTTAAAATGGAAATTCTTCTACCAACCCACCCTGAGGAAAATTAGTATGTTTCTTATGTTTCAGTATTTGCTGCCTTTCCTGAAAAGGAATGCAGACCAGAGTGGCCCCTGCTACAACTTAATCTGACATTGATGGTGTGAGGCCTGGCGGGTGTGGTGATATCCGTAAGATAAGCAGATAAAGATCTACTTCTAAAAATATCTACTTCTAGAACTACCATCTGGTCAGGTCAGGTCCCTGAACAGACTCTATACAGGATCCTACACAGATCCTATACAGGATCCTAGATCCAGGAAATACAAGACCCTATTAAGATCTTTTAAGGATTGCTTTTATTCTTTTCAAGATTCTTTAAGATCTTATTAAGATCCTATAGGATCCTACAAGATTTTTCACGGGTGGGTGTTTGCTTCCTGGTTTTTTATGACTGGCTGTAGATTTCATTATCTTTTATAAATATTTTGCTTTGCAGTCGTAACAGGTGCCACAGATGGAATAGGCAAAGCATATGCAATGGAGGTATGTGTCTGTATGCTATAAGAAACTAATTCTAAATTTTTATGTTAAAATTACCACACATATAACAGATAATTTAAAAAAAATAGTGTCTTGTTTAAAGGATTAAATGAAATGTTTAATACAGTAAAGGATAATGTTAGAGCTAAAGGGGGTTATTGCCCTTGTGGTTGTTATGTTGCAAAAAAAACCTGAAATTTGCAGTGTGCTGTTTTGATAGAAATTGATAAAATAACTTTCTTTTTAGCTTGCAAGGCTAGGTGTAAAAACGGTGCTGATTAGTAGATCTCAAGACAAGTTGGATAAAGTTGCTTCAGAAATAAGTATGGTATTTGGTTACTTTGCTTTTTTACAGTTTTGGAGCTTTTTATCATGCAGTATGCTTGTTTGTAAAGAAGATTGCATTCTGAAAGGGAAGTTGATTCATCAGTCAATGATACTGTACATTGTTGCTCAGGTTTTTGTTAGCCCCAGGTTCCAGGAATTCATCTGGAACAAATGTGCTGTCTGGTTCTCTGTCAAAAATGGCAGGACAGGGGCGGGCAAGGCCAATAAAATACATTTTTCATTGTACAGCCAATTTACAGCCAACTTTGTTTCTGCTGATGTAGCAAATCTGAAACACCGCAATACGCCAAGAATAAACAACAATAAATACATGTAAATCAGTAAAATGCTAATATTTCGCCCTGGCATACGGGGCTTCATCAGAGCAAAAACATTTGTTTCCTGCTGTTTGTTGTTTTGTTTGGCTAGCTTGCTTGTACATACCTTATCAACAACTACTAGAAGCTATTCTCAACTCTTGACTATATACTGAGTTTGCAGGATTTTGTTAATGATAAATGTCCTCTTTGAGATGGTACTTGCCCTTGTATCCAATATACCTTGTTGGGACATATCTCACCACAGGTTTTAAAGGGCTCACTGAATATTATTTGAATAATCCATGAATAACAATGGAAGTATAGTATTTAATGCCATAATTGTGATATTCCACTTGATGATTTTATTTCTATAGAGGAAGCCTGTGGCACAGAGACAAAGACAGTTGCTTATGATTTTGGAAACCCAAAAGGGTATGAAGTAATTCAAGAGGCACTTTCTGGACTTCAAATAGGAGTTCTTGGTAAGTTTATTGATTGATATTTAATATCAAGTATGTTTATTGTTTTTATTTCAAGTACCATAGTATTATCATTTGATTTCCAAGTACAATAGTTTCACCTTTCTTTGTTGTAATGTTAAGCTGTTTCTTCATTTCAGTTAATAATGTTGGAATGTCATACGAGCATCCAGAATATTTCGCTGAGGTATCCGCTGATACTGTTGAGAAAATGGTCTATGTTAATATTCTGTCGGCAGTCAAGGTTTGTGAAGTTTTGTCTCGTTATGTTGTCTGCCCAGTGTGTTTGTGTGGTGTTACAAGTTAAAAATAGTTTATCGTAACTAACTTGTTATTGCTTTCAAATATTATTTATTAGGGCTTCACATTATAAATGTCTATTTGATAATGTCTTTTCCATTTAAAGACATGCTGCCAACATTTGGATGACTCCTGCAATTTATATCATCCTTATATTATATTATCAATTATGCAGATGCTTTTTTTTGTTAGTACATTCACCCATCCTGGCAATAAATTTTAGGTGGCTGTTTTTATGTTCCCTTTGTTGGTAAAGTTAATTTGCCTTGACCTTAAGTTGCCTCTTTTTCCTATTTTAGATGACACATTTTGTTCTCAAGGGCATGGTTGAAAGGTGATTTTATTTCTATTTCTTTCAAATCCACTTGTTACAATCTCTTTGGTGACGGTCAATGGCTCCCTATCAAAGCATCCCTGAGTAGCCTGGGCAGTGTAGTCAATTTCTATGAAAAATGTTCTTAAATAGATGCCTCCACCTTTATATGAAAGTCAATTTAAGGATTTCAATTATTGATTGTCTAACATGCAAAATTTCAAGGCCCGAAAGGTGGTGCAACCAAACCACCACTTTGTGCCATTTCGTCCCTTTTCTTTATGTTCCATAATAAAACAAGCCCGTACATATGTCATCACCTATCATTGTCAGTGAATCTTCACAGGCTATTGAAACAATTCATGTGAATAAGATGGATTTATTGATAACAATGATTCTTGAAATACTGTACACTGCACATAGAACAAATAAGAGTTTTTAAAGCCAAAGTATCACAAAAAACTGTAAAAATCTTGAGTAACTTCTTTCTGGAATTAAATGGAGGAGACTGAAATGGTTCGGTCATGTCATACTTAACAACAAAGAATTAAATTTACCCAACCCCATTTCATAAAAATGCACCAGAAGGAAATCTAGAATAAGAACTGGTTTGCCAACATAAAAATGGATTAGAATGGCAAAAGTTGACGCAACAAGTACTGCATTTCAGTTCTGTTATTCAATCTGTACTTTCTTTTCAAGCATTTTCAGCGCAAGTCAAGGATTACCAAATAATAACATCTTCATGTACTCGAGTGTCAAAATCCTTATTAAAGCAAAATATTTTAGCTTTAATTAGAGGTCAGTGTTGCTATAAGGCACTTTGATTTGTATGACATTTTACTAGGCCCTTTCCTTTTGCCTTTTACAGGAAGAAAGGAATTGTGATAATGGTTTCTTCTGCGTCAGCCAATGTTCCGATTCCATTGCTCTCTGAGTATTCATCCAGTAAGGTATGGCTATCTAAAGTTAAGCGATATCTGTTTGGGTTTAATACTTTGATATCCAATTAAAGAAATTTTGTTTGTTTTTTCTTCTTTTTTTTCATTTCCCATATTTTTCTTACTTATTTATATTTTGTTAAATTTTGTATTTTTCGAAATCAATTGAAAAACCTTTCGAGGGGTGGTTGATTAAAAAAGTCCCCATTACGAGAAATGCTGCTTGAGAAACTTAGAACTAAATAACAAATACTAAAGAAGGCGTTTCCAACATTTTTTTTCTACCCCAATTTTTTTCTGGCTGGTGACACCACTGATGTCCTCTAGAAATGCATGAGATAAATCCAAGTATAATTTTATAAGATTTGAGGCATCCCCCACCAGCAGCGGTTTTAGGGACTGCAGGACCCAGGGCCAAAACATATGCAGGGCCTGGGGCCAAAAACATATGCAGGGCCCTTGTTCTTTACAATTTTTTATATTTTTTCTTAGGTGTGGGGCCCCTTTTGGCTACCATAAGTGTGTGGCTTGGAGCCATGGCCCCCTGGACCCCCCCTTAAAACCACTATTGTCCCCCACTACTTTTCTCATGGTATTTCGTCATTTTCCTACACCACTGTTAAGGTTACGGTAAACGTTTTGAACACGAAAATTGGTTTTTCCTTCCTAAAGGCCAAACGGCTCAAGGAATCTGGATAAACTATATATCATTCGATGCACAAGATTATGGTGTAACTAGCCAGATAGAAATTTTTGGCAAATAATGTTAAATGTTATTTTCCATGCGAATTTACTGGTCAAAAAGTGTACCACCTTCAAAAGCTATTATGTACCCTTGCGTTTGAGGTAACAAAATCTGACTTAGACCAGCAGGAAGTGCAGGTCCTCAGCTACCAAAGTATGTCTCAGATCTTTTAAATTCCTACTCTTCTTGAAACTATACCCTGTCAAAAATTGGCAAATAATTTTTCCACCCTCCCGCAGCTGTATTTGGGTATAAAAGACGGACCAGAGAAAATAAAAAAATTTTGAGACACACTTTGTTTGCCCAACGTCTGCCCTGGCCGTGTGCAAATTTTCGAGCCATTCGATTGGTTCCTTGGGTACATAATAGCTTTTTCGTACCTGCATGTAGAGGAATTTCGAGTCCGGAGAAAACGGGATTTACTGATCGCACTTGCAAGATACACTCGTAAACCACAGTGTAATCCGGGTCAAGTCACTTGAAGATTTAAGATCAATAAGCCTGTTTAAATAAACACGGCCGTACATTGGATATATGGATGTGCCATGCGATATTGTAAATGAGACATGCGACCACGATCAATGAGACATGAGACTTCATGGGGCATCGGATGTGCCATGCGATATTGTAAATGAGACATGCGACCACAACCGCAAAGCAACGATAATCGGCTTAACAGGTCAAGAGATTTTCAGGCCTCAACTAAAAGTTTTGATAAAGAAATTATGGAAACCTTCGTTTACATGGGATTTTTTCCACTTTCAAAATTTCTGTTTGTTTCAAATTTGCTATCATTGTGTGCCTTGAAAGTTCGGCTACTTGAATGTGAAAAAATCGAAAAAATGATGTTTTCATCCAGAAAACGTTTACCGTAACCTTAAGTTTGAAACATGTTTGTCATATCACTCTTGAATCCTGCAGTGCCTGCTGTTGCGTATACGTTGTTTCTTACTTACAACGTCTTTGTATCTTTTTCAGGCATTTATGGACTTCTTTGGTCGTGCATTGCAGACTGAGTATCGCTGTAAAGGTATTATCTGCCAGGTGAGGCACTGTACTTTGAATAAAAACCTTTTTTCTTTTAAGGTTACGGTAAACGTTTTGAACACGAAAATTGGTTTTTCTTCCTAAAGGCCAAACGGCTCAAGGAATCTGGATAAACTATATATCATTCGATGCACAAGATTATGGCGTATCTAGCCAGATAAAAAGTATTGGCAAATAATGTTAAATGTTATTTTCCATGCGAATTTACTGGTCAAAAAGTGTACCACCTTCAAAAGCTATTATGTACCCTTGCGTTTGAGGTAACAAAATCTGACTTAGACTAGCAGGAAGTGCAGGTCCTAAGCTACCAAAGTGTGTCTCAGATTTTTTAAATTCCTCCTCTTCTTGAAACTATGCACTGTCAAAAATTGGCAAATAATTGTTCCACCCTCCCGCAGCTGTATTTGGGTATAAAAGACGGACCAGAGAAAATAAAAAAATTTTGAGACACACTTTGTTTGCCCAACGTCTGCCCTGGCCGTGTGCAAATTTTCGAGCCATTCGATTGGTTCCTTGGGTACATAATAGCTTTTTCGTACCTGCATGTAGAGGAATTTCGAGTCCGGAGAAAACGGGATTTTACTGATCGCACTTGCAAGATACACTCGTAAACCACAGTGTAATCCGGGTCAAGTCACTTGAAGATTTAAGATCAATAAGCCTGTTTAAATAAACACAGCCGTACATTGGGTATATGGATGTGCCATGCGATATTGTAAATGAGACATGCGACTACAACCGCAAAGCAACGATAATCGGCTTAAAAGGTCAAGAGATTTTCAGGCCTCAACTAAAAGTTTTGATAAAGAAATTAAGGAAACCTTCGTTTACATGGGATTTTTTCCACTTTCAAAATTTCTGTTTGTTTCAAATTTGGTGTCATTGTGTGCCTTGAAAGTTCGGCTACTTGAATGTGAAAAAATCGAAAAAATGATGTTTTCATCCAGCAAACGTTTACCGTAACCTTAATACGATCGATTTATGGCTGGTTTATGTTAACAGAGTATAGATTTTTAATTTTCCTCTTACTGCGTTCTTTCCTAACTGTCATTATTTTTAAATGTCAAGTTATCAATTTGACACCCTTAAAGGTTTCATAAATAAATCTTCAATATAGTAAACAGTATGCTCTCTAAACAGCTTCAGCTTTTTACAAGATGTGTTGTTTAGGAACCCTACAATGCCCATATTTAGGTCCGATTTTGCTTGGTTCATGCTTAACCGATTCAAAGGATAAATAGCAATGTTTATCAATATGTTATGCCCTGGAATAATGTTACATTTAAAATTATCAAGGGACTAATCGAAAGCATTTTGATAAGAACCTTCACATCAATGCTAGTTAGTAGACCTCACTATTCATGGGGCACCCATTCAGAGTAAAAAGTTTAAAGTTTTTGTTAATACCATTGTCATGGGCAAAATTTTCAGCTTTTGTTAATGGGCCAAAAGTTGGAGGAGTAACGAAAAGTAGCCCCAGATGTCATCGTAATCGGAAAATGCTTAAATTTCGGTCAACACCTAACACATCATGCTCTTCTCGAGACCGATATACTTTTTTTTGTTACGTAACATGTTTTAGCAGTGGTGGAAAATATGGGGGCATTGGGGGCTGAGGCCCCCCGAATCAGCGTTCTCGTTGGAATTTTTGGGCTTTCTTCTAGTTTTGTCAATTTTCCGACGAAAACCCGAATTTTTTATCCAAGACGTTATATTGACGGAAAATGGTGGGCCTCAGCCCCCCCCCCCCAAACGAAAGCCTGAATTTCCGCCCCTGTGTTTTAATACCAACGCTATGCTTCATTATATGTGGTCTATTTTCTTTCAGAGTCTTTGTCCTTTCTTTGTTGCAACGAAATTGGCAGCCATGAAGCCTAGTCTGTTTGTACCCGAGCCAACTGCTTATGTTAAAGCCGCACTTGGTACACTTGGGAATGCTGATCGGAGCCATGGTTACTTCTTCCATGAGATACAGGCTTCAGTTGCCGGTCTTTTGCCTTACTTCGTTACCCAGATAAATGCTTTAAGCATGATGATCAAAATTCGCGCCAGAGCCTTGAGAAAAAAGAGCAAAGAAAACTGAAAGCGCTATTGTTGCCTGGACATAACTTGTTTTTTCATTTTGTCTGTAGATCTTATCAGATGAAGATATTATGATTAAAATTTACAGTTGCCTTAATTTCTTTGCAACTGGTCGACCTTGATTTGATGTCAGTAGCAAAACATTGCAGATTGCATAGTTTTCTTCAGGTTGAGATCATCAATCTCCTTTTTAGTGTACCTCTGCTTGAAAAATGTGAACAATTTTTTGGCGGTGCATAATTTGAAAATGGCTTTGAAAAATTAAACATTTTACAACACACTTAAAGCTTTTTCTGTCTGACACTCCTCAAAGTATAAAATGTCAGAATAAGGTTCCGATCCACAACTGGGTATATATTTTTTATCTTCTTCTTTCGGAACCAATATCTTGATTGTCTCTCGAAGCAGAAATCTTCCATCATTGCCCATCTCTTTAGCGTCAAATTTATTCATCAGCATTATCTTTTTGAGTAATTGAATCTTAGCCAACAGCTCCCGGAACAAAATCTACTTGATATTTAGCATCTGTGGTGGAAGTTGCGTGAGGGTTGGGGAAAAAAGGGTAGTTGCGTGATGGTTGGGGAAAAAACTCATTTCTGACAGTGCATTGCCTCACTGCCTCGTCATTTGCTGTTATTCTCCAGGGCCGGCGAAACAGGGGGGCTGGAAGGACCATGGCCCCTCCGCTTTTTTGCAGAGCAAAATGATTTTTTTAGGCAAAAGTGGAAAGAAATCTAGTCTACCATTCTGTAAGTAACTGTGCTTAGTATTTTCTTAGATATGAATTTAGCTTAAGCTTGGTAACTATGTATTTACCAAAGAAGAAAATTGAAAATGGGAATTTGGTCAAAAAAATCTGTAATTGTCCAAGTTGTACAGCGAGTAACAGCTTGGCTAATGAAATAATTCGAGAAACTCGATTCAGAATAACTCGGTGCCTGCACCAAATGATGGGGTCTTGTTTTTCCTATGGCCTAAACTTGGCTCCAAAAATCTATTTGTTGACGGAAAGTTTCTCAAAATCGTTACAAAATAGAGAAATCAGCTTTCAAAGGAAAAAACTGCTGGAAAGAAAATTTTTGAGAATATGAGAAATGAAGAATCGGCAGATCATCGAGAAAGCTTCAAAATTTATTGTATCAATAATCCATTCCTACTAAGGAAAAAAATCTATATGTTATTATAAATTCTATCAAAACTCGTTTTGACCAGTCCAGTTTGAAAGTTTTCAAATTCAGACCCTTTTTGCTCAATCTATCATTTTTAGTTGACAGTGCTTCTGTTGATATTTCAATGTTAATGTTTTTGTTAAACCGTGATTCATTTATCTTTCACCTCCATTTCATGTTTGCTCCTTTTTAAATCTAAAAAAGCTGGATTACGAGCTAAAATTAAACGGCTATTCCAAAAATTTGCAGGACCTCTCCTATTACATGTAAACATTACAATAAAAGAAATTATGCGATACATGTGGGGAAAATGCTGGCCTAAGTCACTCTGACTTGCCAATTATTATGCTCAAGAAGTTCGTGTGATTAAACGGTATGAAGGGCCACAATCTCAAACATAATCTGGATGTTCTACTTATGTTGCAGAACCCGTTTCCAACTATATCGATTTAAAAACGATGGCCGAAGCTTAACTCGAATCCTTTTTCTAAAAAACGCGTGTGACTCTCTCAAACTCTTACTCCCTACCTCCCTTGATCACAGTAACAAAACGCTATTTTCTACAACACATTGATAAAAAAAAGCTTGAAAATATTTCCTCGGATTTTCCTTCAGTCAAAATTCATTTCAGATACAGTTTCTGGTCATTCCTTAGATACCATATCTCTAAAAGTTTTCTTGCCTCCAACCATGGTGGCCGCCTTTCCTAACACTTTCAAAACCTTAATTTTTGGCCCCTCCACTTTCAAATACGTTTCGCCGGCCCTATTTTCTCGTTTAAAGATGCTATATTTAAAAAGAAAAACATCCAGATAGAATTAGATTGTTGGAAGTTACATCATAATTTATTTGTAACTAAAAAAATGCTGACGTTTTGAGAGTTATATGAAAATAACTCTAAAAAGATTTTGATCCATATGCCTTTGTGACGTATTTGTATCAAATAAAGCAGAATATTTCAATAAAGTTACAAGTTAATAGCATAAATATATGGTAAAATGTCGATATGCTAAAATAATTTTTTATCTTGAGAAAGTTTCGTAATAATTATATCCAATGTATATTTAAAAAAGAACTGAAGGTAAGATAGAGTGCAAAATGTGATTAGAAACAGAAAATAAAAGGAAAGTATATGGTTAGGGGCAATGTATGTACTAAATTGCCAACCCGCTGGATAGTATTTAATACATATTCTTAAATTCTTTTAAAAAAAACTTTTTTTTGGAGATCATCGATCGTGACGATATCTGCATGTAGCTTGTTTTTTATTGGCAGGGGTGTCGGCACGGCATTGGAATCTCTCGGGGGAGGGGCTGGGGGGCTGTAGCCGCCTCATTTTTTTGCTGAGGTATGATAGAAATGTTGTTGCATTCATCAATTCTTTCTGTGGTAAAATAGAAGGCATTCATTTCGAAATTTGCTTTCACATTCCCCCCCCCTCCCTCCCCCCCTCCCCCCCCCCCTTCATCCACATTCCTTGAACGACGAGGCAATAATATGCACTACCAAAAGAAGGAGTTTGAGGACTGTGCATGTATCGTGTATTTCAGAAGTAAGTTATGACCCCAATATCAGTTTTTTGACCCTTTTGTCTTTTCAGAACCCACTTCCACTTACACGATTGTGAACGTGCAGCTTTTCGGGTTTCTTTCCGTGAAGGACTCATCACACATGCGTGAGAGATGTTGCAAACGAGGCCAAGGTTTTGTTGGGGAATCGGGTGTTGATGGAGTTGTACCAAGCGTAAACGTTCTGCGTGGCAAACAGACTCAAACAAAACGTGACGAGAATAGTGCTGTTGTCAAGATGTTTTTATTAAACTTGCTTAGTGCATCATTACTTTTTATCTGTCATGGAATCGTAGCTGCTCGTACCAACAGCCTTTTGGAATTAGGCCCACCAAGTCCGAATAGTGAGCTGTCCCGTTCACGAAAGAGCATTGTCCCAAGCTGTGGTGTTGATTTTGTTTATAAACATTTTGCTACGAATGGAAGCCTTACTAGAAGTGAACTTAAAACACTTATCGACGCGCTAAGTGGTAAAGATGTAATTGAAGTAGAAGATCGTAGTTGCAGAAAGGTACACGAGCACAAAATTCTATGTTTACGCTAGAGTGTAAACTTAAGTTTTTCAACTTTATAAATCCGGATCAATTAAGTTTGGCAACTCATTCCATCGAAATGACGCACGCCTTTGGTGGAAACTCTATTTTTTATGTATCACTCTCTAAAAATTGTTTTGCTTTGGTGAAAATCGTCATCCCTCAAGTTTGGGAGTTTGTCGTTGACTTGAATTTGGTACCAACTATCGTGCTGTTAATTGTGATTGCCGGTATTTTCCAAGTGTTTATCTTCCTTATTAGCAAGAATAGCTCTCGAATATTACTGAAGGTTTTATTTTTAATATTGGCATAAGCAAAACAAAGCATAGGCAACATAGACCCTTAGACACCTCAGATGTTAATTTCTACCTTGAATACTCAATCAAGTCAACTTATTCTCGGCGTATTGTGGTGTTTCTTATTTGCTACATTCAAGTCAACTTACCTCTGCTCAAATGTCATTTTCTAGTGCTTGACACCAGATGAAGTTTTTAACTCTAATGGTTACCAGAAAGAAAGGTATCTGAACAAAGCAAAATTTGAAAAAATATGCCCAAGTTTGCTGCAGCAGATCATTGAAAAACCATGTAATGCTATGGATGATGTTGAGCTTTCAGACAAGCCAAGACGCAAAGTTGAAAGTGGTAAAGGTTGGTAAGACTATTTTCAACTCTCTTGTTGTATTTCATGTTTGAAGTTAACTGTTGAACACAATACCAGCACCAAAGTGATTTGCTACAGTTTGTTTGCACATAAAAAGGTATCATGTTGATGCTCTTTTGCTTGATGAACATAGAGCAAATGTTTGCAGGTGCCATGTAAATGGGTGTTTGGGCCTACAAGCTACCTCGGTGAAGTGCAAGTTTTTGCTGCCCACTGCGTTTTTAAGAGTGCCTCCAAGTTCAAAAAGAAAAAGAGGATCATCAGCAAATTGTTTGTTGCAAATTTTGAAACAATTGAAGCTTAGGCAGACACTCTGCTAACTTTTATTATTATGTATGTTGCTTTGCATGCTCTTCTATCTGTCGTTCTATTCCATCTGTCGAATCCCACATTCCTTTAACACTTTTTAGTTCTATCATCGCTTTTCAATTTTACTTAATAACGGGCTAGGCTAAAAGTGTTGTTATTCATTAAATCAATTATTTATTCCTGGTACAATTTATTTATTTTCATAGTTATTATATCATTATATTGTATAACACAAAATCTAGTATATTTACTCTGTTAAGAGCCTGGTATGGCTTCGTGGTTTTGGATCTTTGTCCTTTTTAAACAATAATGGTCCTCTGGCAGGAGGCACTCAGGGTTAGATTGCTGAAAAATGATGCAATTATATTAAGTAGACTTAATCTATTATAAAGCCCATGAAAGGTAATCACTTCATGATTTTCAAATTAACCTCCATCTCACCTACAATAATCAAAATTTATTACAATATTTAGAAATTACAAGAGCATGCCAGGTTTTATAAGCATAGTCCTCTATTTAGAGTCAATTTTGCACATAGTGAAAAAAATAAAGTTGAGGTTGAGATTTTAGAGTCTCTAACCTTAATTTATGGAACTGAAAGTCCTGTGCAAGAGATTTCAACCCGAGCACTACATGCATTTTTTTTTAATTTATGAAATGTTCTAAAGTTAGTTTCCTTGTCATTATCTCTATCAGAACTTAATTCAGATTGGTAAAATTTGAAGAGCTTCATTCAGATGTAGGCTAAGGATTTTTCAGAAAAGGCAGAAAGCAGTGGATCTAGGATTTGCAACAATGATTTTTTCACAATTTGTATTTTATTACCAAGAAAGCAATCATTGATAAGCTTTTTTATTATGTAAACCTTTGTCCCTAATCTATTTTTTGCCATGGCTATTTATAAATGGAAAGTGTCTCTGTGTTGAGGGTTTCTGAAAAATCTACATTTTCATTTCAGCATGGGGCTTTGGAATCTTGTCAGTTACAATTATCAGCTTGGCTTCAATGTTGGGCGCATTCATTGTCCCTTTAATGAACAAAGCACTTTACAAGAAGCTTCTTCTATTCATGGTGTCACTGGCAGTTGGAGTTTTAGGAGGAAGTGGCGTTTTTCATCTTATACCTAATGTAAGTTTTGATTTAATGTTATTATGTGAATTTGCTGAGTGCCAATCAGGCACGGTCTGGCCCCGGGTGGTAAAGTGGCGATCACCACCTTGGCCCTCAGTAGATGCTCCATTAAACACGCTCTAGGTGCCCTAGGTGCGCTGTCTAAGGTGCTAACTCATAGCCTTGATAAGGCCAGGGATGAAATGCATTTCTTGGGAAAACAAGACATGTGCCAAGGTGTGTGCGTGCAATAGCACGCCTTTTCCAGGATAGCCTGATTTGCATGCTTGAATCTTTTCAACTACAAGCTTCTTGATTCAGAAAAGTACTTTTTTGCCCCTATTGTAAAATTGTTTGAATAAAAGAGATTTTTTGAATTGACTTCTTTTCATAATTTTTCATCATTTCATCATCATTTCATCATTTTCATTAAGTCTTTATCTTTCATTCACTTTTTTGATTTTGATGCCTGTGTATTATTTCAGGCATTTGGCATGGGTTCTGATGGAGGCAAGACATATTTTTGGAAATGTAGTACTATCGTTGGTGGAATTTACTTTTTCTTTGTCACAGAAAATATAATGAAAATTTACATCCGGTTTGCTGAATGGAGGGTAAGAGTTATTGTATTTATTTAAAGGTCTGGAAGAAGCCCGGCAACCATGAATGCAGCAATTTTTAACCTTTGGTCATTTCTTTTAATTTTTGTGGGGGTTTTTTAATTGATACTGATAGGTTGGTTATAGATGAGCAATTTGGTGGGAATGTTTATAAAACATTCAAACAGACTGATCAAATTATCTTCAGATTTAGTTGATTTCCCTCGACACTGAGCGTTGCCAAATATGGGGACTAAATCCAAATAAAACAAGAGACTTGCCTGGTGATCCATTTCTTGATTCTTTACATTTTTATAACAAGTAGGAGCCAGCCTCCTGCTCTGCAGTGCCTGTATGTACCTATTAGGTATTTAGTTTTGCCTATTAGGCATTTTTTATGAAAATTGCTGTTTGGCTGGTCTGTCATATAGTGCCTGATGACGTATCGTAGAGCTGTACAGGATTTTGTGTATAGAATAGCATATCTTTAGATCAATTAGTGGCCTCAAAACCCTGATGTGATAAATTGTGAAGCAATTTTCTGTTTCTATTTTTTGCATAAAGATTAATAGATGGAACATACAATGCGACAGATAAAATGATAAGTTTAAATTCTCCTTCTAAAATCTCCAGGATACTGGAATAAGAGAAAAACCTCAAACTTTCATTGCCTTTATTTCTTTTTAGTTTTGCATAGAGATCCATGCTTTTTTCCATGTTGAATACAGAAAAGAAAAACACAGTTGTAAATGTATCATGGAATTTAGGAAAGAAGTACAAAATACTGAAATGTTTCAGTCCAAATTTATTTTTGTTGGAATTATTTCTAATTTGATTCTTCTTGATATACTTTGATTATCTTTCTTAGTTATTCAAAAAGTTGAATATTTGTTCTTGCAGCGACGGAAAATTTCGAGAAATGGTATAAACCTGAGTATTAATGAAGAGGCACCAGGGAAAGAATTGTGTCATTTGGTTGCCACTGACAACGTTCACGAAGACCATGCACTTGACAGTGTCCATGTATCTGATAGAAATTGCCAGCATGAACATGGCGTTGATAGTTTGAACATGGCTGGAGATCACTGCATAAACAAAAAGAATGCTAGCGAGTATTTCAAAGATGGTGATTCAAACAAGGGTTTTAGCATTTTAGAAAGAGTTGCACCAGTTGCGTGGATGATTATTCTTGGAGATGGGCTGCACAACTTCATTGATGGCTTGGCAATTGGAGTGTCATTCACAAATGACATTGTTGAAGGAATCAGTACAAGCTTAGCAATATTTTGTGAAGAGCTTCCTCACGAGCTAGGTAAGTCATCGAGCCTGTTTTATTGTCTTGGATTTCTAGTTTTGCTTTTCTTACCCTTTCCCTTTTTAAGTCATTATCTATGATGCTATCATTTAAAAGCTCTTTTAAGGAAGGGGGATTATTTGATTCTGGAGGTTGTTAATAGGGCTTAGAGTAGAAGGGTTGATTGGAGAAGGGGCTTTTTGAAGGGGATACCTATTTCTAAAATGTATTAAAATGGATTAAAACATCAAGAACGTATATATTAAAATGATATTTGCCAAACAGGTAGTTATTTTCCTTTTTCCCACATGATGCAATATCCTCTGATTCACATCAACTGAGACAGGACAGGCGTGATGATGACTTTTGGTTTTTTTGGGGAACCCTTCCTGCTTGCGTTAGTCTCAAGTGCTGCTAATGGAATTTAGACCGAGCTGTGCACATAAGTTTTGCTAAACATAGCTCATGACTTTTAGGTATTGAAAATAGAAAAAAATGACTTGTTGTTGAATTATGCAGGGAAAGGGGCCTAATGGAGACGGAGGGCTCAATAGAACATTTATGGCATATGAAATAAGTGCGAGTTAGAAAGTGGCAGTAAATCAAATGCTGCTAGTTCAAACTGGTTTATCCTGAGTGTTACAATCTAGTTTGAGCCAACCACTGCACCGTTGGTTAGAAACTTGTCAAAAATACTTCACTTGATAATATAATATATGTGATTATACACAGCTCTGCCCATTGGGCATCCAGCGCTGTATAACATATCAGTTGACAGTAAAATATATTTGTCTGTTATGACTTCTGTTTATCATCTTGATGCTGCATATCATTAAAAGGGTGGATCATAATGTATACACTGAATCTTCACCAGCATAATATTTGTTCAGCCCAGAAGAGCAAAAGGTAAGTAGCGTTTTGGTGGAGGATGTAAAACACTGTTTATGACTTGTGCAGCTCTAATGTAGCTTATAGCATAAGATCCAAATCTTTGATTGGCTGAGCGACCAAAATGCTAGTCTATATACTCTTTTCACTTTTGCAGCCCAAACGTTGCTTTCAGTGACTTTTTCTTGAAAATTTTTTGTTCTGACAAATAATATCCATATTTGAACCCCTTTTTTACCATATAAGGCAGGCTGCCCATAAAAAAGCAGTACATATGCTTTTGCACCAAATATAGATGCTTCTTTCTTTTCTTTAGTTTCCTGGTGCTCTTGAACTATATGTTAAGTTGATGTTATGTAAACGAAGTGATTTTACGATTTATTTCAGGTGACTTTGCCATCTTGCTCAACTCTGGTTTGTCGTACAAGCAAGCCATCATCGCCAATTTCCTTTCGGCATGTACGTGCTACATCGGTATGGTCATAGGAACTGTTCTTGGCAGCACCACCCAAATTGTCAAGTGGATCTACGCCCTGGCAGCTGGAATGTTTTTGTATATTTCTCTTGTGGACATGGTATGGGATTTAGAACTTTTGAGACATATTCGTGATATAAGCCTATTATTTTAGTGTAGTCCGACGCCCAGTTTTAACTATAATTCCATTTTTAACTATAGAAGATAAAAAGATAAATTAAATTTAGACTTTACAGGCCTAAAGTCTACTTTATTTATTAAACAATTCTATAAAAGTCTACAAATTCATATTGTGAAGTAAATTGCTTACAGTAGAATGCTCCACAGCAGATCTAGGACAATAACCCGAGGAGTAAAGGGCTATGTCCACCCCGGTGCCATTTAACACGAGAAAGACAAAAAATTTCCTGAATTTAATACATACATGAAACTTCAAACAAAAACACTTTTATCATTAAGTTCTGAGATAAAATTATCAGATATCAGATTATACAGAGTCTGATGCCTTTATAATATTGAGACATACATTCCTTGAAGCAAATCTTTTTTGACTAAATTTTAAAACCGGCTGATTTTTTAAGTGGACACTTGAGAGTATTGGTATAAACAATGAAATTTCTGGACCTGAGACTTTTTGCTCTACCAATAATTTGTACATTTGGTTCTAGAAATATAAACATTATTGATATTATATTTTGTATGAGAAGGCACAGCATTTAAAACAAGGCATTTATTGGTCTTGTTTATAGCTCTTTATTTGTTGAATGGGGTAACGATTTTTATCCTAGCCTTGACACATAAATTGTACTTCATTTCATCTTAATATAAGAGGGCATGAGAAGATTACTTCCCAAAATATCATGAATGCTATTCGTGGTTTTTGTGTGCATGTTACGTGTACAGAATATATATAAGTCCTTGTTGATCTGGCCTGTTGATCTTGTCGTTACTTTTGACTTGTGGGCCTTACGACCTATGATCTCGACTTGACTTATGGTCTTTCGACTTGACCTATGATCCTTATGATCTCGACTTGACTTATGGGCCTTATGATCTCGAATTGACCTATTATGAGCCTTATGATATCGACTTGACTTATGGTCTTTCGACTTGACCTATGATCCTTATGATCTCGAATTGACTTATTGGCTTTTGACCTATGATCTGGACTTGACTTATGGGCCTTATGATATGGACTTGATCTATGATCCTTATGATCTCGACTTGACTTATGGGCCTTATGATCTCGAATTGACCTATTATGAGCCTTATGATATCGACTTGACTTATTGGCTTTTGACCTATGATCTTGACTTGACCTATGGGCCTAATGACTTATGATCTCGACTCAACAAGCCTGTAAAAGACCTCTGCCTCTTTTGTATTGTTGCATTAAGAATAGCATACGTGAACAAATCTCAAATTTCATTGGTGCGGTATTGCATTTTTTCAAAGTGTAAGCAATATTAGATTACTCTTTGTCAATCCTTAAAGTGTCTAGTGGCAGTACTGCAAATAACAATATGCGATCAAACTTCAATTTGACAATGCTGGACTCAAGTTTCTGGCTTTGAGTCATTGATAGAAGCAATGTCTTTAACGTTTCTTTACACAGTAGTTCCAACTGCTTTTCTTGACTAGTCACTCAAAATTGATATATTCCTCTTTCAGCTTCCTGAGGCAACAGGCATGCAAGTCACAATAAGTGCGACTTCAAAGAAAGAGACAATCAAGAATTTTATCATCGTTAATATTGCTATCATCCTTGGCTATTCTGCAATGTTTTTGTTGGCTATATATGCAGAAAATATTAAAATCTAATTTTTTCAGTTTTAATACCTTTTTCGCTTTTTGTATTTCCTCAATATGTGACCTTTAAAATGAAGTTTATAGATTGGTGTTATCGAGATATTCAAGCAGGAATTAATGTATCAATATTAGCGCAGTGTGTCGTTTTTACCATTTTTATGAATTATGTTTAGGACTCGATACAATTCTGAAACCTTGAAGAAATAATTAAAAACTAATTGAATGTAAATATGAAATGTAGAGATATTTAGCGATCAAGTTTTTAAATAGTACAAACAAATAATTGCACAATTTCTGTTAGGTCGCTTTAACTGTCATTCAACTCGTTCAACATTAATTCATATCCAAAAAAGGTATATGCTTCATATACTTTAAAGGATATCTACTTTTTTAATTTATGTACTTATTATTTAACTTCGAGTAGAACACTTCGAGTGCACAGTGCTCACCTTGTTCTGATGCCTACCTCCTCGCACTGTGTTTTTAGATTTATTTATTGTCATGCTGTAGGTAAAAGGAAATGTAAATTGAGCCACTTAACTTCGAGCCTTGATTGCGCTTTGTAGAAAATAGAGTGTAGTTAGGCGTTGTCGTTTTATATTAGTGTTTGATGAGAATAGCAGTGTAAAATGTGTCTCTTTGTCGTGCTATTTACTACACTAGAACAAATTCAACTCAATAGAAAATATGTAATCATGTTCCTTGGTAGAAAAGCTTTGAGAAGCTACCCTAGCAACCAACTTTTTCGTTGCTAATGAAAATATTTGTGATTGCTTTTTGAAAAACCACGATTTATGGCCCATTTTTGGTCCGTATGTGCATTTCACAAAGAAAGAAGAACACGTTAGGCATTATAAAATGAAAAAAGCAAAAAGTTGGGAAAAAATTTCAGGGTGAAATTTATGGTCGAGGATCACCTGAAGCAATATCGCGTGTTTTTGCAGTAACAGGAAGTTTGTTGAGATTGCGGAGTTGCTAGCCATTCAGACAGCCTAAAGGACTAACCAGGGCCTCCGACAAAGAGGGGCGGGGGCCAGGCTAACATTCACCACCATACAAGGATCAAAGACTGTTGAACTATTAACTTCAGCCTTGCTTTTGAATTTGTCTAAAAAGACAAAAAAGATCACACTAAGACATTTGAGTGTTGTAGGCCGAGGGTTTGATGTATATTTGATACTCTCACCAAGTCGTTTTTGCTCATAATATGGAATATCCTACCACCCCTTACCCATTTCCAAGTAAACTTTTGCTGAACTTATACACAAAACAGCAACGAAGCATTTTCAGGGTCAAGCAAAGGTAGTTGCTCCGTTGGTTAAATATGATATTACTTTATATGAACAAAGGTAAACAAGCTAATGATTTGAGGATTTGTTATTGGCATTAAATCTAAAAATCCAGGCCCTCTTTAGACAAAATTGTGCCTTGTGTCTTTTTCCCTAAAGTTTTTTCGGTAGAAGCGTAACTGCATGTCACTACGAGCTCCAGATTTTTTAATTTTCAATAGGATTAGGAGGATTGCTTTAGTGAACTTGAAGCTTCCAGGGAACTTGAAGCATCAAAATTCAAAAATGTTCTAGTCCTTCGGCGGGAACCATGGTGCCGCCTCGGGTAGTAACTATATCCTTTGCCCGTTCCGATATAGAGATTTGACAAAACTATTAGGAAAGTCCATTATTATCACATAAAAATAAAATTTGCGAATTATATAGAGAGTTAGATTGACAAAATATATTGCAAAGATTTGTGATAGCAATCAAAGAATTTCAGGCAATAATTTTGAAATTCTCCCTCCCAACCCCCACCCCTCCCTCCCAACAAGGTTTGCCTCGCGACGTTCCTGCTGATAGTGAAAAATACGACCTTAGGATTATGTTTGTTTATGTAATAAGTTGTTAATTGTAATCTTTAGAGTTAACGAAATCAATATATTTGTTATATTGTTCAAACAAAGAGGTGTGAAACGCAGATGCATTTGTGTTGAATTTAATAACAAACTTAAGCGTGGAAAATATCTTTGGGCTTTTCCTTTTACATTCCACTGCAAAATTTACTCTTGAGATACTCTTGAGACTGCATATGTACATTCTGACTCTCAAAGGAACCAAACTCCTTTGTTTTCTTGTTTATCAAAGATTGCGAAGCGTGCTTCATGAACTGCTGGGGTATAAATGCTTTGGCTCTCCAGATGCTCGTCCTTTGCCTCTTCGACTCGATTCAAGGAAGGGACTCCGTTGCAAAATTGACGATGGAATTTATCTAGTCGAGGTAGAAAACATCTCTTTATCCTTTATTGGCGCCGAATTTTTAAATATGAAGGACTTTATTCTTGTCCGTATATGGGCATCGATATTCCATAGAATTAGAGCCCATGTTTCATTCATTGAGCAGACTTTAACCATCTTTTGATCTATCAGTCAGGCAACAAAATTATCGAATTAGCCTTTCATTCTAAACAATTTCAAACCTGTCGTGATTACCATACCGTTGGCTAATATACAGTAACTGTATTGATAGATATAAAGGTTTATTTAAGCTTACTAATGAGCTATAAACAAGTTATTCTTTATTTTCTACGGTACGGCCTAAAATACTATTGTCAATTGCATTCTGTCAATCTTACGACGCAGTAATTGACTCCAGTTGTAGCCAGTCATTGCATATACTATAATTAGAGAACTTCAAGTCAATTTTCAAAGAAACGGGATTTTCAGTGTATCTAAAACATTTCAATTTCTACTTATTTTGACAGATAATGAAACAAGTTGATATAACTTCGCCAACAGTTTCTATGTTTAACCTTAATCAAAACTACCGATAAATATATATAACTAAGTAAATAAATAGAAAGAAATTTGCAAAAATGACTTTAATTTTACATTATATAATATCCATAAAATGATTGCTTGTTATTTGCCATTTTAGTTTATTTGAGAAAATAAACTGTAAGTTTATAAAATTTATGATATCATTTGAAATTCTATAATTAATTAAAACCGATTATTTTAGCATATCTCTAAAGGCAAATTAATAAATGTTTTGTCTCAATTACGTCATGTGAATTTAGAACTTGCCAATCATGATGTCAGTCTCCAGCCTCACTTTCCTTTTATTGAAATTCATAATTTTATTTTAACATCATTATAGCGTATTATTGACGGAATATTTCGTTTGCTTATTGATATATTCAATGCTATATAATTTACACATATAAATGCAATTTATGAATCGTTTCGTATCAGCTGAGAAATTATAAATATTTTGCCAAAAGCCAGGTCCTAAAACCGTTAGTTTTTGGCTCGTTCTTCCAGTGGTTACAATGACCGCCTGAACATGTCACATCTTTTATAATTTACTTTTTGTAAACAGGAAAAACAATGGAAAAAATACTGATGCAAAGAGCATTTATCATCAATATAGAAAAATGTAAGTACTAACATTTTCTTTCATCAAGAGTTGAAATATATTTGGCTTACATATAATTTGCAATTTCCGACGATTATACTCAGCTTGGTTGTTAATATGTGGTATACATCTATTTTTGCCAAGTTTAAGGTGTACTTTAAATATCATAGTCTTAAAATGCATTTGAATCTAAGGGTTGCCTATTGAGCCTGAAGGAAGCCGGATCAAGTGATCCGAAAAAAGATTTGGTTATCAATTTTAAACAAATATCTTGTTGATACCTCTTTCCTGCATTTTCTGTGAACTGTTATCTGCTTAATTTGCAAAGCTCATTGTAACAAGAAAACACTTAGAAACTATAATCATTAACCAATTTGGGTGAAACATTTTGCATTTAATTTCAAGCACTAATGAATCTTTGAAGACAAAACAACTGTGTAAAAGATTTAAAATGTTTTTTGTATAGATAAATTCTTAAGGACAGCCGAAAGTAAGTACTTGATTAAGTCAGCGTCAGTGGTTGAATTATAATGGTTTATTTACAACACTATAATGGCTTGAAACACAACATCACAAATTGCAAGGAATTCTTCTATTGACTTTATGTTTTCTTGATTTTTGATCATGTTTATTATAATGAACTAGCAAATGTACTAAAAAATATCGTAACTTTCTTTATGGTTGCCGATCGAAAAAAGTTTTAATTCCCTTTTTGGAAAGCAGAAATTTAACAAACAAATGAAACCCCATAGAAGATGAAAATATGATTATACCATGCTGTTTCTTCAAATGAAAAAATCTATACTCCTTCACATATTGAAAATAGAAGATTTCAAAATTTAAAAAACATTCCTTTCGTGTTCTTTCAGAACCTTATTCTGACGTTTTATGCTCTGAAGAGTGTCAGACGAAAAAGCTTTAGTATGTCGTAAAATGTTTGCTTTTTTCAAAGCCATTTTCAAAAAACATTTCACAAACGAAATATTTACATGTGCTTAAGTGAAAAATATAATATTTCAATGAATTTTCTAAGAAAAAGCTTCATCTCTCCTTGAAAAGCTGAGCATGTTTTTCGTAGTGGTTGTGGTTGTCGGGGCTGGTTGATCAGGGTTGTTTGGTTGGATTTGTTGTTGTGGAGGAGGATGTGGTGATAATGTGACATGGTTGAGGTCTGAAAACATCTCTAGCTATCCAAGGGGATTAAATGAAGCTAATCAAAATCCAAAACTAGTAGCAACTTTTCTGTCAAAATTAAGCATTAAATCTGGTTTCGACTTTTAAAAACCTCAGTATAAAATTGATATTCTTTTTTAAACTAATGCTTTGCAACTGAAAGCAAAACTTTTCATTAAAACGTGCTAGAGTCATCTAGCGAAATACAAAAAACATTTTCAAACCAAATGTTCAAAAGACGCTTAGAAATTTTCCTTTCAACGTCAACTTGACCATTGAAAATTTTCTTAGAAATATAAAATGTTTTGCAACTGAACGCAAAGTTTTTGATCGAAACTTTATAGAGCCATCTAGCAAAAAATAGAAATTTGTTTCAAACCAAAATTTCAAACAAAATTTTGCCAATTGAAAATGTTCTTAGAAATATATTATCTTTGAAACTAATATTTTGCAACTGAAGGCAAAGCCTTTGATAGAGACATTATAGAGCCAAGTAGTGAAATAGAAAAAGAAATTCAAACCAAATGTTTAAAAGACGCTTAAAAATTTTCCTTTCAACGTGAACTTGCCAGTTAAATTTTTTTTAGAAATATGTTATCTTTGAAACTAATATTTTGCAACTGAAAGCAAAGCTTTTAATAGAGACTTGATAGATCCATAAAGCAATAAAAAATTCAAACCAAATGTTGAAACAACGCTTAGAAGTTTTCCTTTTAACGTCAATTTGGCCATTAAAAATTTGCTTAGAATTATTTCGCAATATAAAGGAACTTCTAGAGGCTATATTATTTTAGCTTCTGACCATTTGAATTTTCGGTTTCTCTATTAAATCTTCAAGCAGCTTTAAATAATCAAAGTAACTTCGAGTAACAAACAGATGGAAAAATGGCTACCATAGAACACAGTCTACTTATTGAGTATTCAAGTTTTAGATAATTTTAAAAAGAAACGTTAGAAATCCAGAGATTGCTAGCTTGGTTCTCAATAATATAAGTGGCAATTATTTATGCAAATTACTTTTTATTAATCACAATAGTGAAAATATTTCT